ACATTGATCCGCTGCCGCGTTACGAAATGGCGCATTGGCCCGCAATGGCCGCCGCCTGGTTACGCCGCCAAGGAGGAGTGCGTGGGATTGGAGGGAGCGGCGAGAGGCGGCCGGGCATTTTGCCGCAGATGGCCTCGAGCCTCGGGGCGCGGTGCTTTCCGCTGGGGTGCTGCCTGCGCGTATCTGGGCCTTCGGGCCTCCTCGGTGACGGCAATCCGCGCAGATCTCCGGCCGGATTTTCTCACCGTTGATTTGGGGATACATTACTGAAATGCTTGCTGCTTTGAGGTGCTTCCTAACCCGCTAGTTTCGCTCAAGTGTTTGGAATGAAAGTGCTTATGGCGTCTGGTGGTTGAAGGATTAACCATTTCAAGGATTTGCGTGTAGATAAGTGCTAATTTGGAGCTTAATATCTTACCGATTTAATTTCTCGTGGATTGGCACCGGTTGTGGTTTCCTGGATTTTGGTTTTAGAGAACTTCGACCACAGTCAAAATTTCACGACTACGAGGATTTTTTTGTGTGTACGGAGATGTTGTTTTTGTGTATTGTCAATTGCGTTCATCCGAGGCTTGAATAAATGGGACTACGTGAATTAAAACTTTGGGCAGTTGATCATTTAACGTGTTTCTAGTATGTGGCAGTATTTAAGTATTGAATGCTTTAATTACTACTTTAGAAGATTGAAGAAGTTTTTAAATGTGATTGTGAGTCTCCTTTAAGGATTTGTGTTGCATTGTTTTAGTGCGTGCATTAAAAGCAATTCATTTGAATGTTAAAACCTTCAAAATGAAAAATTCATACCAGATACTCTAAGTCAATACGGTTTTGTGCTTACTTCCTTGGGCAGATGGTATATGCTATATGTGACAAATTCAAATTATATACTTGTGAATATCGGTGTACTGTTTGAAATCATTTAACTATATGATGTAAATGGGCATCCACCAAGTTAAATTGATTACAGAAAGCTAAGTAGTGCAACTAGGTGTAATGATGTACACCTGTTACCCTAGCACGTGGAAGGCTGAAGTAGGACTGCCTCAAGGCCCAGTCTTGCCTAGCCTGTCCTTGAGAACCTCCCTCAGCAGCTCCCCTCTCAAAGCACTACGGGCCTAATCTTATCGCTGATTTGTATTGTTCTTGTGGGATATGCCTAGGAATGTCTTAGATAACTGATGTGCTGGAAATCTGAATCTCTCTCAATTTGCCACTCCAAACTTTTTAAGTTGCATTTCACAGATTGTGTTTTAAAAAACGGGTTTGTTGCTGTTCCAGACTGAGGATAGTGAAAATGGCATGGGTTGAATAATGCTGACTCCTGGGTTCTTTTTTGTTGTGAATGACTTGTTACACACATCTGAAATACACCCCTAACATACACTTGTAGCTTTCAAAAAGTTATTTTTTACTCTGGGATTGTTTTGGGGTTCAGTTTAGTTACATAATGTTTAAAGTGACCCGGGGTACCATTGTAGTGGGGTTTTTTTGTTTTTAAGGCAACAACCCACCCTCTACATACTTCATGATGGCTAGGAACTGGATACATAGTCCAGGCTAGCCTCTGCCTCAAACGCTGAAATTAACTGGTGTGTATTATCATGCCCAGCGTAGAGAGCAGATTTTTAATTGGGAGTATTAATGATAGAAATTTTGAGACTCTTGTAACAATTTGCTTCAAGAAAAAATAAAACTGTATCGATCTTTTTTTCTCAGGGCCATGATCCAAAGGAACCAGAACAGTTGAGGAAGCTGTTTATTGGTGGTCTGAGCTTTGAAACCACAGATGATAGCTTAAGAGAACATTTTGAGAAATGGGGCACACTTACAGACTGTGTGGTGAGTCCTTGGGGTGAGGATTGTCTTAGGAAGGGATGGGGACCTATGAGACTATTTAAATACTTTCATTTGTTTATTTTATAGGTAATGAGAGACCCCCAAACAAAACGTTCCAGGGGCTTTGGTTTTGTGACCTACTCTTGTGTTGAAGAGGTGGATGCTGCAATGTGTGCTCGGCCACACAAGGTTGATGGGCGTGTGGTGGAACCAAAGAGAGCTGTTTCCAGAGAGGTATTTTAATAACATGTTGTATAATGCATGGAACTGTGAGAGTTTGGTTTTTTTGACTTAAAATTATTTTATTTGCAGGATTCTGTAAAGCCTGGCGCCCATTTAACAGTGAAGAAAATTTTTGTTGGTGGTATTAAAGAAGATACAGAAGAATATAACCTGAGAGACTACTTTGAAAAGTATGGCAAGATTGAAACCATAGAAGTTATGGAAGACAGGCAGAGTGGAAAAAAGAGAGGATTTGCTTTTGTAACTTTTGATGATCATGACACCGTTGATAAAATTGTTGGTAAGTAACAGTTGCAACATAAATGATTTTTATTTTCTACTGAATTTACTAACTTACACTTCGTGAAAGGTGTAAAAGGATGTAATTCTAGTTTTCAACTTTCATAATGCTGTAACCCTTAATATAGTTCCTCATGTTGTGTTGACCCCTCCCCAATAACATTTTTGTTTCTACTTCATCACTGTAATTTTGCTGCTGTTTTGCTTATCTGATAATGTGATCCCTGTGGAGGTTGAAACCCATCTAGATTAACTTTTCTTGGCTGGGCAGTGGTTGCCCACGCCGTTAATCCCAACACTTGGGAGGCAGAGGCAGGCAGATCAGGTTGGTCTATAAGGCCTCCAAAGGCCACAGAGAAACCCTGTCTCTGGAAACCCCACTACCCCCAAAAAAACATTTATTCCCCAAATATCCTCTTATTCCCTTCTCAGTCTATCATTTTAATTAATTGCATGGCAACAAGGGTTTCACTTTGGTTTTCCAAACAAAAAAATAACTTTGTGGTTTTTTTTACTTAAACTTACAGTTCAGAAATACCACACTATTAATGGGCATAATTGTGAAGTGAAAAAGGCCCTTTCTAAACAAGAGATGCAGTCTGCTGGATCACAGAGAGGTAAGTAGGATCATATGCACATAAATAATAGACATGAACAGTAGTTGAAAGATTTTGAAGTTTTTACTTCAACATGTGTTACAGGTCGTGGAGGTGGATCTGGCAACTTTATGGGTCGTGGTGGAAACTTTGGAGGCGGTGGAGGTAATTTTGGTCGTGGTGGAAACTTTGGTGGAAGAGGTAAGGTGCTTGTTTTTAGTATAATGCATCATAAATTTAGTAGTCAGTTGAAGGTATCATTTTAATTCAAACTTTGATTTTCCTCAGGAGGCTATGGTGGTGGAGGTGGTGGCAGCAGAGGTAGTTATGGAGGTGGTGATGGTGGATATAATGGATTTGGAGGTGATGGTGAGTATTTAAAGACTGAGTTTTGTCTTTTAATTTCTGCATTGCCAGGAATCCACATAGCCTTTTGCTAGTTAGAAAACTTAAACATAGATATGATAGCGTTTTAACTGTTTTAAAAGTGTCATACCTTCCAGTCCTAAAACTTTGAATGGATTGAAGTATAGTTCATAACTAGAACCACAGAAGAGGAAGCCTCTTCCCAAGGATGGAAGTAAATATTAACTTGTTATCTTCTGGCAATAAGTTTTATTTGTATCAGCAGTTGAGCTAAAATTGCTTTGTGTAAGGCTATATTGTCATGAGTGAAAATAAAAACTGACTTGTTTGAAAGAACAAAAACACTCATCTTAAGTTTTACCCATCAAGATTGCTTGGCTCTGACTAGATTTAGAATGTTAAATCTGTTCAGTGGTTCATTGCCAGTGATGGTGTAGTATTTGGCCTTCCCTGAACATTTGTTTCTGTGTCGCTTTCTTTTCAGGTGGCAACTATGGTGGTGGTCCTGGTTACAGTAGTAGAGGAGGCTATGGTGGTGGTGGACCAGGATATGGAAACCAAGGTGGTGGATATGGTGGTGGTGGAGGAGGATATGATGGTTACAATGAAGGAGGAAATTTTGGTGGAGGTAAGTTAACAGATGTTTGAAGTAAATACAAATTAGCATTTAAATTAGTTCTCTGCAGTGCTTGGAAATGTTTAAAGGATACACTGGCAAAGTTTTAAGTGTTAAATAGCTATATTAAAACACATCTCATCCATGTAAACTTACCATGTCCATTTTTAAGTTGTGGAAAAATGGGCACTGCATACATTTCACAACTAGAAAACAATTTTTAAGGTATGTATACAGGGAGATCTTGAGTTCTAGATCATTCTGTCTTAATCCCAGCACTCAGGAGTCAGAGGCAAGTGGAGCCTGGCCTACAAACCTAGTTCTAGGACAGCCTCCAAAGAGAAACTGTCTTGAAAAACAAAAACAAAAAACCCAAAGCCAAAATAAAATAAAGGTTTCAGTGTAGGATTCAATGCTGTTAAGGCATATTTACAGGTTGTTTTTTTGTTTGTTTTTGTTTTGGAGACAGGGTTTCTCTGTGCCTTTAGAGGCTGTCCTGGAACTAGTTCCTGTAGACCAGGCTGGTCTCGAACTCACAGAGATCCACCTGCCTCCTGAGTGCTGGGATTAAGGCATGCACCACCAACGCCCCGCTTTTTTCTTTTTTCTTTTTTTTTTTTATATTTACAGTATTTTACAAACCTCATTACTATTCCAGAAATATTTTCATCATTCCAAATAGGACTTTATTATAGCCCAGGTAGCTTAAAATATGTATTAGACTCTGGCTTTGAACCTTCTTGGATCCATTTCCCAACCACACCAGCAAATTTGATTTTTAAAAATGTTTCTGCAGTGTTAAAATGTGTATTGTAAATTGGTAAAAAGGATACTTACTAATTATAATTAGTAAATTACAAAGGAAGTTTTTAAAATGTGGTTTGTTGCTGGGTTTTTCCTTAACTCTTGGATACTTTGAAACTTGGTAAATGGGATGTGTAAGTTGTTTGAATAGGGTAGTATATCAGTTCATGGAATGCTTTGAGTGTTACTGTATTATGTATCATGCTACATACTATAGCATGGGTTATGCACAATTATTAAGGTAATATGATCTTTGTTAGGGAACTGTTGAACCTAACTCATAAATGTGCTTTTTGATGGTCTAAATTATGTGGTAGGAGTGTGTATGTAGGATATAATGGCAAAGGAAAAAAAAATAGATGTTCCTCAGCTGAAGTGTGGAAATATAGTCTTCTTGATTGATGTGTTTCACTTTTTTCCCTTTTTTTTTTTTTTTTTTTTTTTTTTTTTTTTTTTTTTGGATTTGTTTATTAAATCACTTGGGCTTATGGTAATGGAGTTTAGTACCTAAGGTCAATGTTAAATCCTTGCATTAAAATAATTATAATACTTGGCTTCCATGAGTTGAAATAAAGGGGTAAATAATTATTTTGGAAAACTATAAATAAATATCTTTGTGATTTCAGGTAACTATGGTGGTGGTGGGAACTATAATGACTTTGGAAATTATAGTGGACAACAGCAATCAAATTATGGACCCATGAAAGGGGGCAGTTTTGGTGGAAGAAGCTCAGGCAGTCCCTATGGTGGTAAGTTCTTTTTAATCAGAATTCTTAAGAGCATTCTTGGTTAATATTTTAGGTGTATTTAGAACTGTATTGTTATTTTTCAGGTGGCTATGGATCTGGTGGTGGAAGTGGTGGATATGGTAGCAGAAGGTTTTAAAAATACAGCAGAAAAGGGTAGGTATCTTAAATTTTTTTAAAATGATAAAAGAATATATGGAACTTGACTGAGTGTAATAATTTTTTTATCCTGTATTATTCAACAGGCTACAGTTCTTAGCAGGAGAGAGAGCGAGGAGTTGTCAGGAAAGCTGCAGGTTACTTTGAGACAGTCGTCCTAAATGCATTAGAGGAACTGTAAAATCTGCCACAGGAGGAACGATGATCCATAGTCAGAAAAGAAAAGTTACTGCAGCTTAAACAGGAAACCCTTCTTGTTCAGGACTGTCATAGCCACAGTTTGCAAAAAGTGCAGCTATTGATTAATGCAATGTAGTGTCAATTAGATGTACATTCCTGAGGTCTTTTATCTGTTGTAGCTTTGTCTTTTTCTTTTTCTTTTCATTTCATCAGAGATATTGACATGTAAATTGTGGTAGTGGGACCAGGAATATAAATTAAGGAATTTTTAACTTTTCAATATTTGTGTAGTTCAGTTTTTCTACATTTTAGTACAGAAACTAACAAAAATGCAGTTTTGGAGGTGTTTCCTTGTGAGTTAACAAGTAAAGAAGATCATTGTTAATTACTATTTTGTATGAATTTTGCTAAAGTTAACTGTAAAGAAACACCTACTGACTTGCAATTTAGGGGGAATCTATTCTCCCCATTTCCAAATCTATGATGAATGGGCACTGACACATGGAGAGAATAGATATTTGTATGTTTGCAATGTGTGTTTTAGATAATTAGAATTGGGTAATAAAAAATAGCATATTTGTGAATTTAATAGCATTAAGATTACTTTCAAATGAAAAAAGATCTCAAAAGTTCCTATTTGGGTTTTGTGCATTTTATTTCAAAATGTAATCATGATTTTAGTATGTTAGTTTCATTGAGTCCTAGCGGTGTTAAGAACATCTCCATTCCACATTTACCCTGATCACATTGAAACTCCTGCCAATAGTTTTGGGGTATAAAGTGTTTATACTACCTTCTACTAAAGGGTGGTGGGTATATTTCATCTCCCCATTTAATACTCTTTTAATACAGGACCACTAAGTCTGCTGTGTCTGAGCAAACTGGTGGATACCTGGTTTGTTCTGCTTTTCAAATTCAAAGTCCCAAAGCACATTATTCCTTGGTTTAGTTCCCCCAACACAAAACTTTTCAGAGCAGAGAAATAACAGTCACTCATTTGAACTCCTAACTGGCTGGCATGCTTTCCTGTTTATACCCTATACATTTTGCTGGATGATGAAGCCAAGGATAGTTAAGGTGTCATTGTCCATAACAAAGCAGCAGAAAATGTAGCACAGTTGCTTAGTGTGAGCACCTCACTTCCCAAAGACCTGAATTCAAATTTGGATAGTCCTGAATGCTTAAATCCCTAAAGAACACATGGTTATTCTTTGTATGTATTTCATCCTAAAACATGTTGGTGTTTGTTCAGAGACCCTGGTTGAGAAGAGTTCTAGATAATAAGGTCATATATATGAAAAATGTCTACTGTTGCGCCAGCTAGTGCTTAACAATTTCATTCAAGCCCCTAAGTATGTGCTCTGCTGTTGGCTTTCTTTGGCATTTGAACATTGAATTCAGTTTTTTACTTGGTTTTTGAAGTATAAGCAAAACAAGCAATAAAAAGGGGAATGGGGCGTGCTAGTGTTTGAATATGCTCTCTTGTTGCTCTAATTCTGTGCCTCTGTGCATTATTAATATTTGGATGCATGCAATGCTAGCATGGAACTTTGGTCTTCACAAATACTGCAGTTTTTCCAGAAAACACTCACAAAACAATAAATGTAATAGACAACATTCCATTTGTTAATGGGCATATGTGAATAAGCAGTGCAGAAAATAGGCTCATGTTAGAAAATGGTTACATCTTTCATAACTAAAAGTGTGATTATAAATGGACACTGTCAATGTTCAGTTTAAACTTGGGTACCTGGTCAAAATGCTTAGGAATATTAAAACAACTAAATTGTCTCAAGTCCTTTTATTCATATAATAAAGATTGAAAGAATTGGGGAGGTTAACATTTCCTGGTTTTGTGAAATTGTTGGACACAACCTTGACAGTATCCTTTAATGTCATGAGGTCAATTGTATTGTTAACCAATTTTTTTATGTTCTGGAACTACTATAATAGTGAAACATTTTTTCAGTAAGTTGATGTTTACAACCTATAATCAGGTGAAATCTGTGTGTGACCTGTTTATAAGTTGTACTAGGTTAGCTTTTGTGAACTGTGGAAAAGTAAGCCATGAGAGCGATTTAACCAGCTTTAAAGGACCTAAGTTGTGCTTTTTAAGTACTGGATCAAAGGAAACCCACTAAGACAGGACTTCAGCAGCCTTTTGTGTATGGACAAGTCAGCATAAATACAGAATGAGAAGGCAGCAGCAACAGCTTCAACTACAGAGAAGTGGAGGCATAAGATACTATGGTGATAGTCAGCAGCTTTCCAAAAGCTAGTTAAATCTGCTTATTGCAACTGAAGTGTCGAAGAAAGTAGCAGGAAGGAGCTCCGCCCTTTGGAACATCAATGAGATAGTTGCCACAGTCGCTAGGTCTAGCATTTAGACCTGCAAGGAAGGGCAATAAGCATTAGGTAAGGCTTGAATTTGAATTTTTTCACTAATTAAAGAGTGCTTTTTTGTAAAGCAAGGTAAGAGTAATCTTTTTGATTTGCAGGTGAATGAGAACCCTACTTGCCTAAATGAGGAATGTCTTTCCTACCATCTTAAATACGAAGGTTTCTGGCTGGGTAAGGTTTGTAGCTCACAGTAAAACCTGATGACACCATTGGTTTCCCTACAAATCAATGCCACAGGTTGAAATGAAACATTACCCCCCATTAGTAGGTACCCTGGCAGAGTTGCCAGGGTTTTTTGTTTTGTTTTGGGGGGTACCCTGCTGAAAAAGTTGTAAGACTTCAGGCAGTTACATTATGCAGTGGTCACAATAGGGTGTTTGTCTTGAGCCAAATGAGGCCTCTTCATGAGTACAACTCACTGTTAGTATCTGTGGTAAAATCAGCTTTCCCTAAAGGAAAAAGAGTCATGTTGGCCTTCCAGAAATAATTTTTGATGTATGACTTCCAGTAAGCTGTCCCACCCTAGGGAAAATGGGGAACTTTCACAATTGCCAGAATACTTGTCTTCCTTGGGTCTCTTGCATACCAGTTCACAATTAGTGGGCCAGTAGGAGCAGTCAGTTTTTAGGTAGTGTCTGTCCCCTCCATCTCCTAAGCACAAAGGGTCTCACTGTTGTCCTGGCCTGGAACTCCATACACCTGCCTGTCTCCCAAATGCTGGGATGATAAGGTGCCTAATTGTCGCTTATGTTCCTTAAAAAACAAAACCCAAAGAACAGTTTGCATTACTATTCAAATAAGTTGCTGATAAGGGCTATATTTTGCTTCCTTCATAGGGCTTTGAAAACTGCTTAATTCAGGTTACTTTTTAATACTTTCAGAGGACAAGTTTGCAAAATACTGGTTAGAGTTTTCCACATAGGGATGCCCTATATCAAGTTTGCTTGGCATTTCAATGAGGACTGAATTTATACAAACCATAGTTATCAAAGTAAGGTAACAATCTTTCGATGGTTCCTTCATACAGATGAGATGAAATACAATTTTTAGCAGGAATTCCATTTCCTTTCTGAAATAAAATGATTCTACTTAATGTTCCACTGTCATTTCTGCAAAAGCATTTTACATACAAAACAGGAAACAATTGAGGGTGGCTTTGATTTTTGTTTGACCTGTAGGATACTGCTCCCAGTTTACATGTCTAAAAGCTGCATTCACACATCTAAAGAGAGACCATGTTAAAAATCTGGAAAGGGCTAAAGAGAAATGGGCTTGGTTCGCAAGGGTTTTATTGTGTTAACAATTCAAAAACTAATGATAGTATCAGTAATTGGCATGTTAAGTGGTAAGCACGGGGTAATATATACAGGGTGCTGTGAGGACTGGTAGTCTATTCAAGTATTCAGTTTTAAACATTTTTATGACAGCAGCGGTGGCCTGTACAGGATTCCATTGTTTCATTTGTAGTATGATGAAATGTTACAGAGATGACTTTTTCATTAAAATATTTTTAGAAATGTGTCTGGTTTTTATCACTTTCCAATATTCCTTTGACTCAGTCATGTGTGAATTTAGACAATAACAGAATGAAGTTTGGGATGAACCTTGATATTTTTAAAAGATGTAATCTGAAGTAAAAACAAGTATATGGCTACTTAATTCAAGGGCAACATGTAATAATTGGTGTATATGGAATTTATGGGCTTTTTGGGTGGTGGGTGAGATAACTAAAAGGCAGTTCCTTGGTTGGACATGAGGGTAACAGGGTCAAGAAGTTAACCACACATGACCCCCAAGTGAGTTGTGAATAAAATTCAGGGGAGGGTTCATAGACACTTCATGTACTGTTTTTATGTTGTAATTAGGAACCACAAATTGCCTTGCTTTAGTACTGTCCTGAAAATGACATTTTCACCAAAATACATTTTGCTATCCAGATGAAAACAGCTATAAAGTAGTACCTCTGCTTGTCTCACAGGTTCACAAGCATGCCAAACAGAAAAGATTGAAATCTATAATGCACTTAAGCCTACTATACCTTTGTTTAGCAAGATCAGCATCTTGTAAAGTTGGCATGACCATGTTGACCAAAGATTTTGGGGAAGTGCCAGTTTTGGTTATTTAGAAACAAGTAATGGTGGGGAGGTACAGAACCTCAATGGATAGTTCTGGGCACTAGAAGGTAAGCACACATTTGCCCATGCTATTTAGATCTTAGAAATTGTCAGTGAGCAGGTTCCAAGTTACAGGGATTTAAAAGGGGGGGGGTAGTATTACAGGTGCATGCCTGTAATCAGCAGGAAGCAGAGGCAGGTTGAATCGAGTTTTAGGCCAGCCCAGTAAGTTCCTTGACAGCCAGAATTGTTTGCCAGGAACCTGTCTTAAAAAGCCAAATATGTATATGTGGCTGGATGGAAATGGGTGTTTTACAATACATTGCTTTTTGTGTAGCCATTGTATTTTTTGTTTTGTTTTTCAAGACAGGGTTTCTATTGCTCTGGAGGTTGCCCTGTAGACTAGGCTGGCCTCGAACTCACAGATCTACCTGCCTTTGCCTCCTAAATGCTGGAATTAAAGGCATGCGCCACCAACGCCCTGCTGTAGCCATTTTAAAGTATTTTTCCTGCATGCACATGAGCATACCTGGTGTCCCTAGAATCCAAAAGAGGGCACCGTTCCCTTGAGATGGAGTTATAGAACTTTGATTTTACTATATGGGTGCTGAGAACCAAGCCTTTGTCTTCTGCAAGAGTAGCAGGTGTCCTTAACAGCTGAACCATTTCTCCTGCCCCCTTCCAGTTGGTTCTATCTGGACGTTATAATGGGTAATTTTCTTTTTAATGGACATTGTGTTTTCCTGTGTGGTTAATGGAAACATCATTCAAGCTTCAGATAGGTTCCCTGCTGTGAATTAATTCAGCTGTCTTATGTACTCATTTAATAACAATTAGGTCTGTTTAGTAGCTCATCAAGTTTAGATTGTGAGCTTAACCATGTGAGCTCAGACATTTTTGTTTTTGTTTTTTGTTTTTTTTCGAGACTGGGTTTCTCTGCAGCTTTGGAGCCTGTCTTGGAGCTTGCTCCGTAGACCAGGCTAACCTTGAACTCCCAGAGTTCTGCCTGCTTCTGCCTCCCAAGTGCGGGGATCAATGGCATGTGCCACTGCCTAAGGGCTCAGACAATTTGGGGGTGGTTTTGTGTTTTTCCTTGTTTGATATTGCCAACAAGATAGCATAAAATAATTGGGCTTAGGGTTGAATAGATGGTTTAGTGGCTGAGAATATTTGTTGCTTTTCCAGAGGACTTAGGTTTGATTCCCAGCACCTACATGGGACAGCTCAGCCATCTACTTTTTAGTCCCAAGGGATCCAACGCCCTCTTCTGGCACCAGGCACACAAGGGTAGACAGACAACATCCGTAGACAAAACTTAAAATATTGACCTTGGCAGAAAGTTGTGATTGCATGCCTTTAATTCTAACAGAGAGATGGGAGATGGGGACAGGTAAATCTCAGTTCCAGGCCAGCAGGGATTAATCAGTGACACTCTGGAAACATTTCTAAAAGTTGGGTTTGGTTTGTTCAGAGACAGCCTATTCTGGCCTCTATCCTCTGGCCAGAGCGTTCATTCCCAAACTGGGGTTATAGCCTTGAACATCTAATGCTGGCTCAATGTTAAACTGCATAAATGTGGGCAGTTTAAATGTTACCTTTAAAGTATTAATCAGGGGCTGGAAAGATGGCCCAGTGGCCATCTTTAAGAACCCTGGCTGCTCTTCAAGAAGTCCTGAGTTCAACTCCCAGCACTCACAGGGTGGCTGAAAATTGTTTGAACTGTAATGGGATTTGATACCATCTTCGGGTGTGCAGACATGTAGAAAAAGCCCCATGTTAAGTTATCAAAGTATTATCTGGCTCAGCAATAGTTAGGTGCTTTATACATTAAATCCTGATTTCATTTGGCCGGTTTTAGATCTTTGAAGTTGTTGCCTAATGATCTTTGAGTTTCCAACAAGCCAGTGATCTAAACTAAAAGCTAAAGACATCTGGGTAGCGGTGGTGCATGCCTTTGATCTCAGCACTCAGGAGGCAGAGGCAGAGGCAGAGGCAGGTAGATCTGAGTTCAAGACCACCATCCTGATCTACAGAGCTAATTCCAGGACAGTTAGGGCCGTTACACAGAGAAACCCCATGGGTAATAATATTGTAAGAATCTTAAAGGGAATGTTACCTCACCCCCGCCCGAGACAGGGTTTCTCTGTGTAGCTTTGGAGCCTGTCCTGGAACTAGCTCTTGTAGACCAGGCTGGTCTTGAACTCACAGAGATCTGCCTGCCTCCAGGACAACCTCCAAAGCAATACAGAGAAACCCTGTCTTGAAAAACCAGAAAAAAAAAAAAAAAGAAAAGAATTTAAGTCATTAAGTTTTCTCTCAAGGGCTGGAAAGATGGCTCAGAGGTTAAGAGTACTGACTGCTCTTCCAGAAGACTGAGTTTAATTCCCAGCAACCACATGGTGGCTCACAACCCTCTGTAATGAGATCTTGTGCCCTCTTCTGACCTGCAGGCAGAACAGTGTATACATAGTAAATAAATTTTTAAAAAGTTTTCTCCCAATTCTCTTATCAACTGAAACTATTGACCTTTGTTTGTTTTTTTGAGACAGGGTTTCTCTGTAACAGCCCTGGCTGTCCTTTAACTCACTGTGTAGACCAGGCTGGCCTGGAACTCACAGAGTTCCGCCTGCCTCTGCCTCCCAAGTGCCAGGATTAAAAGGCATGACCCACCATACCCAAAACTGCTGTCTTCTCAAGTGGGCAAAATATGTTCTAAATTGTTTATTATTATGAAACGGTTTCACAATGTATCCTTGGCTGGCCTGGAACTCTAGAGATCTGCCTGACTCTGCCTACTGAGTGCTAGAATTAAAGCTATGTACTATTACATCCAGCCTGGTAATCACATAAGTTGGGTGTAGTAGTATATTGAATAGACTCTCCCTATTCACTCAGAAACAGGTGGGGAAAAAAAATCTTGGATGGGTTTTAAGATTTTTAAAACAAGGGGGAATGAAAGTGTTTATGGCAGCCGGGCGTTGGTGGCACATGCCTTTATAATCCCAGCACTCAGGAGGCAGAGGCAGGCGGATCTCTGAGTTCGAGGCCAGCCTGGTCTCCAGAGTGAGTGCCAGGATAGGCTCCAAAGTTACACAGAGAAACCCTGTCTTGAAAAACCCAAAGAAAGTGTTTATGGCTCTTGCAGAGGACCCAGGTTTGATTCCCAGTCCCACATGGTGGTTTACAAACCATAACTCCAGTTTCATGGGACATGCAGGCAAAACCTTCATACATAAAATCTTAAAAAAAAAAAAAACCAATAATAAAAGTTAAGGGCAGGAGAGATGGCTTGGCAGTTAAGAGTGTGTACTGCTCTTGTAGAGGACTAGAGCTCAGTTTCTAGCACCCACATAAGATGGCTCACAACCACCTACCAGTCACTCCAGTGTCAGAGAATTTCAACACCCTCCTCCTGGTCTTAACAGACAACTGCATATAACCACACAGATACTCAGGCATACACATTGTTAAAAGCTTAAAAAAAAGATTTAGAATAGTGTTGACATAACCTCAAAGGTGTGCATTTTAGCCTACAGAATTGAACTAGAAACAATTCAAGAAAGATTTAAACATTTATGGGCTAGATTTACTATTTCAAATATGGAACAAACAGTTTTGGTTTTGATAATTGGGTATGCTGGTGTTCAGAAGATTTACATTTTTTCCTTTTTTTTTTTCTTGGATTTTTGAGACAGTGTTTCTCTGTGTAACAACAGCTCTGGCTGTTCTTGAACTCACTCTGTAGACCAGACCTCAAACTCAAAAAGATCTGCCTACCTCTGCCTCCCAAGTACTGGAATTAAAGGTGTGTGCCACCACTGTCTGGCTTTAAAATTTTCTTAAAAAGACTTTTTGTGTATGGATGTTTTGTGTGCATGCCTGTGTGTGTAACTGGTGCCCTGGAACTGCAGTTATAGATGGTTGTGAGCTGCCATTCATGTGCTGGAATTTGAGCCCATGTCCTCTAGAAGAGCGGTCA